CAATTCATACAAATCACCAGTGATCAGCCACTGGCCAGATTAAACCTGAGACCTTCCTTGAGGTGTAGAGAATACTCAATCTACAGATGATTCCTCCTGTACTCCTTACTTTGCTCTTCGGATGAACGAGGACTTATGTTCCCTTCATTCTGCCAAGCGACGCTCGGAATAGATTCATTCCGGAATTGCATCGACGAGCAGCTTGCGCTCACCGAGCTTGCTTCATCACTGTTTGCTTCGTCGTCTGGCGGCATTGCGGTATCAAACCCCGTGTCACCTTCTTGCCAGTCACCATCGTCTATATCATTTGGGAGGCCTGAGTCATCAACCTATGGTGTGTAAGCACTGCTAACAACGATCGTATTTTATACTGCGCCGAGCTCGTAACATCCCGATTCTCCTGACGAATTGCTACCTTGTAATAGAGATTCCCCATCGTTGACCGAGGCAGTTGCAGTTCTACCACTCCAGTGGGAACTACCTTCGAGGGATGCTATCGAGCGCACTCGTCCTAAAAACAGAGCATCTTATGCCCCACATGGCCGGCAATCCCTTGCAAAAGTTCACCATGCCTGGCATGCACGACAAGATAGAAAAGTCTGAGAAATAATCTTGTTGACATAATCACTGCTATTTTTCCCATAGGGAGTCCACATTCAATTGATATGTAACCATTAAGACATCATGTGTTTACGTCTCTCTCCAATGCTAGATTCCGAGTCTATGCCATCACTGTCGCCTGCATAAGTCTCCTGTCTTATCTGGTCCCGGTGAACAGAGACAGGAACTGCATGACGGTCATTAACAATGCGAGTTGCGTTATCCTCATGTCACCTGCACGTGGCGCCGAAGCAGCAGAATGATACCGACCAAGAGCACCGACCCGTCGCCTTGTTGGGCGGCCTCTACGGACAGTGGGGAGTCCCCGATTCTCTGGATGATATCTGATGTGAACGGCAAATGTTAGACAGGCATAAAGTGGCAAACCTACGGGTCCTGCGTGCCCCTGAGCACTTCCACTGCGTACCCATGAGAGCATGTCCCCCAGTCACGCCAGCTTTTACAGGTACACGACACTATTGCGGACTCACCGCTAAGTCGATGATCACCAAGGGGAGCCTCGAGGGTGATCAGGTTGAAGCTGAAGTACGTCCGCATCAAGAATTCCAGTGTAAGGGCATCATCTGAAGAACAACATACATCACCTTCACGAGCTGGACCTTCTAAAAAGAGCGCGGTGTGCGATCGGCACTGTTTCATTTGAGTTACTCGAATTGAGTAGCTTACCAGTCGAGAAGTCATCCAGGAGAACCCCTCTGAGGAACTTTTCGATCACGCGATCGTTGTCAAGATCGTCTGCTGCACGGAGGCTTTTGATAACAAAGAAGTCACTGCTCAAGTTTTCCTCCAATATTTCTTGTACCATGTCCGTTACCTGCAGTTGTGTTCGAAACACGGCGGAGATTTTATCCAGGTAACGTCCTTACATCTATCACAGCATTACTCGCTGCCAAGCTTGTTCCCCGAATCCGCGCTGTGTCCTTGTATTTTATGTGATTTATCACCTCGGGCCTTCTAACGAAGTGTTGTGGGCTGGAACCTCGTAGCGAATTCACCATCTGTAGCCAACGATCGGAAACATATAAGTTTGTTTTGCTCCCAGCCACTGGGATCCAGCGAAGTTGTTCGCTTCTACCTGTTTAATGCGAGCAGCGAGAATGGGCATTCGCAGCCGATTGCTCCCGAATATCCTGCATTGTGTTCGGTGGAACGCTTCGACGACGTTGTTTAACACCTGGTCGAGCGGTTTTTCATGCTTACAAGTTCGTGGTGCGGTTTCAGTCAAACCGGCTCACCTGAGCACAGGGCAGTCCCTCGGATGTGACTGCGATATTTGGATAGCCGTAGCGCTCCACATCCAAAGTGTTCTCGAGGTAAACAGCGGCATCATGGTCGATCAGCTCCACCTCTTCAATGAGAGCAGCAGAGAGCATCTCATACAGTTCGTCTGTAGGACACGCATGAAGAAAGAACTTATGCCGTTTCACCTGCAAACATGACACAGCATTGCCAGCATTGGAGAGTGAGGTTAGAGAGCCTGGTTGTTATTGGATAACAGCCTACCAGGTCGTATGCCTCGCCGAGCCTCGACTTGTTTTCCTTGATATTTTTGGACAAGTGGAAGTAACAGCGGCCTGACGCAAACCTTTTTATGTACATTTCCTGGAATTTTAGCATCAATACTCATCTCTCACCATTCCTGACACCAGGTAGATAATCCTCGCAAGCACGTATTGCGCCTTGGTGAGCGTCATGAAGACACATAGTCACAACATCGCCCAGCTGTCGCGTATTATCCGTGAGCAGCTTGACGAGCTTATCCAGCTCGGCTAGGAGGCCGTAGTACGTGTCGTAGCACTCCTCGTCGCAAACCGCCATAAGGAATGGAACAAACGTATGGTGCGCCTCGTTACGGCGATTATACCTTGGAGTATTAAGAGTGCACTACGACTGATCGATATAATACTCTTCTTACCACACGCGTGTTGTTCCTATCCAAGCAACCTTGAGACTGCCACGGATTATCTTGTTTTGCGCATCCATATACAAGGGAAAGCCGGAGGGGCAACTTCTGATGAACCAATAGAGGGAAGAAATCATACCTGAGATAGGTTGCGGTTGTGCGCACGATATGGGTTCCTTCTTACTGGCTCCGCCGACCATGCAAGAGAAGTGTTGACTCCCCCATAGACCGTTATGATAGATAAACTCCTCAGGGAGTTCTTGATCTTCTTTGATCACATCCATCATGGCTTGGGTCAGCTTATTATCTCCCAGAGCTTCTTCCAACTCGTAATAGTTAGTAATCGGATGAGCACCCGCTGCATGCGTCGAGGCATCGACGACATAATCTCCTGTATCTGTGGTGAAGTAGATTGCGTTGGACTTTTGAGGCTTTGAACATCCCACCTTGACTCGATTAATTCGGCCAGTGTCCGTGTAATACCGATGCTGGGAAACCATAGCGTTGTAGATTTGTGACGCTGTCAATCCCAAGGATGCTCGGTCAAATATGAAACGAGTTATCTGCCTCGGGTGCTGCAGTCTATCCAAGTCAATGGGCACAGTGCCATGCTCACCTAAGGATTCCTAGTCACACGCTAACCATTACTATTAAATAGTCTTGATGATTGGTTCACTCACCATGCTGATACACTCTCACTGTAGTCCCTTCCCAAATGAGCTTATACTTCTTATTGCACGCCAAATGATCAGCACAAAAGTAGACTCCCTGATTTCCCCGTTTATACTGGTTATTCACGGGAAAAGGGAGACGTAGACGGATTAACGCCTCTTCAAATGCCTCTTCCCTCTCGGGAGGGGCATCTTCGAGGGTGCTGAGAAGCGTCCAAGAAAAAGGTGCTGGCATCACAGGAGACTGATTTGAGAAACCGGAACGACTGCATGCAGTGACATCTACTACCCGACTGACGTTATTCAGGCTATACTGTAGCCGCAGACTGCGGCCTACCTACGTCTCCACGACAAGCTACACGCATGAGTATGCCTTGAGGAAGTTGAACATCGCCATGCGCTCTTTGCACGATCGACCTTGCGATATTGTCAGGGACTCCCTGACAATATCATGTGGTCCATATATGGACCACATAATATTTTTGCATCAGAAATACCGAGCTTGGGCTTCGAACCGGACACTTATATCGCGCTACAGGGGTGAGCCAGACAGGTCATACAGTCTAACGGTTAGACTCTAACCCAATTAAGTGACTTAACCCAATCAATTAACCGGGATTCACGCTAATTCCCGTGCTGAGAAGATATTGTGATTCAAATTTTCAGATGCGGGATTGAGCTATTCGATGAAATACACTATCATTAACAGTGTAGACGCCGTCTACAAAACGCAACACAAAGAAAAGCTCAGCGAAACATCGTTTTCGAAACAAAAGGTAACGTGGACCGACACATACAAGCTCACCATCGGAGACGGAGTCGTCTGAGTAGTGTAGATTGCTGGTATTTCACTGCTGTATTACAGCAGCTGTGACTGCATTTCAGACTATTTCCCGCTCCGCAGACGTTTGACGGCCGACCCGATCACTCCATGATCCGCGGTCCGTACCTAACATTCGAAGGTTGGACACCATTAATCTGGTGAGCAATTGAGACATTGATTGAGACACTCCTAAGCCTCATGGTGTTCCCATTACAACCGAGAGATTTCTCCCTGAAGTCTCTGCAACTCCGCTCTGGTAGCCTCATGTTCTTCTTTCTATGATTGTGATAAAGATCACGATTTTAGTACAGTGGTTTCCCTACCTGCCGAGCATTCATGCGCTTGCGACGCTCTCCTCTCTTGTTGCCCATCAAATCGGAGAAGCACGATAATTCGGACACCAGGCTCACGGAACAAAAATATTAGCGGATCCGGAAACTCAACGTAACAGTACTTGTACCACATACATGAAACATGTTGACTTGAAAACACGGACTTCATATTGGTCTACCTGAACTCCTCGCTAAGTACCTCTTGCTAAGTCTGCGGTGACCTCAAGGTCGACACCCGACCATCAAAGGAGAGCCCTTGGCACACTCGCTTGCTACTTCGAGATCTACTTCCGTCAGCGACACAATTACAATCGAAAGCTGGGAAAACAAAAAAATGGGGAGCAAACTCTCGGTAAGCCGTCGATGTGCTCAAAGCTGACACCCAGTAATACTAGGGAAAGCCCTTGGCACACTCGCTTCCTACTCCGAGGCTCACCTCCAGCAGTGAAAAAATGGGGAGAGCAAACTCTCGGTAAGCCGTCGATGTGCTCAAAGCTGACACCCAGTAATACTAGGGAAAGCCCTTGGCACACTCGCTTCCTACTCCGAGGTTCACCTCTAGCAGTGAAAACAAAAAAATGGGGAGCAAACTCTCGGTAAGCCGTCGATGTGCTCAAGGCTGACACCCAGTAATACTAGGGAAAGCCCTTGGCACACTCGCTTCCTACTCCGAGGTTCACCTCTAGCAGTGAAAACAAAGAAATGGGGAGCAAACTCTCGGTAAGCCGTCGATTTGCTCAAGGCTGACACCCAGTAATACTAGGGAAAGCCCTCGGCACACTCGCTTCTTACTCCGAGGTCTACATCTCCGCCGCATGTCTGCAACTGATGAACAATCGGCTGTATCAGATTTCGCCAACTCAGAAATCGCCAAAATGACGCCAAACAGATTCGCAGGCCTAATGACAGGAATTATAGGTGATACCAGTGTTGGAACAGATTACAACAATGTGATGAAATACGTTACTCTACAACTGATTTGGACTAAGATTTGGTGGATTCTGCAAAATTCAACAGATGTGCAGTAATCTGCGTGTTGTTCTCATTCCGCCAACATCAGTATTGGCAATAACTGCACATGGACAGCTCCCGCCAAGTTGGTCTTCTGCACAAGAATTGCCAAGTAGGTGATTTTAGGGTTGTGAAATATGGATCGAACACCGTGCGCCCTGGCTATCGATTTATGTTTTGGACGGTCCAAATTGGACCAAACTTTTGGTGCCACCAAACTGGTGGCATACATAGTCATTGGAGTTCGTACAAGCTCATTATATCAAGACTCAACGTTGGTTCATCCCCATAGATGATGGTAATGGAGCAGGGACCAATTCACGCCGTCAATTAATTTAATTAATTTAATTATTTACGACTCTCAGCATGGCTCGCGACTAGGCTACTCCTCTTAGTCTTCGAGGTCAGTTACTGCTTGCAACGACACTCCACTACTACTATTACTGCTACTTTTTCGTCGTTACTCCCCCACGATGACGATTCTGTGACGAAAATTTCTGTCGCTGATCCTGAACGGTTTAGGCTGAACCCTCAACGAGTAAGCGTATGAAGTGCTACATCTTCTGGACGCGATGAGGTCGTTCTGTTCATCTCGGGTGTGAATTTCAATTGAATCCAAGAGCTTTCACACTGTGAAAGCTCTCGGATTCAATTGGTCTTATTTCCTATCGGTATTTTCCTATTGATTCTCCACATTGTGAAGACAATGTGAAGCTCACAATGCCAGCTAGGACCGGTCAACAGTGTCGTGATAAGTTCCGTTCTCTACTGTCTTCCGGTGAGTAGGAAGTTTCGCTTTTGTGTTCTATACTGTGTTGCTTTTCAGGAGAAGTTGAGTCTTGGAGGACCTTATTCTGTTTAAGTTTATTGTTGACAACTCGCTCTCACTCAAGCCCGCCCCCGATAGTCGTGTCGATCGCTCTACTACTACAACGTCGGGTTCTGTTAATTCATAATCTCGGAAAAGGGTCTCTTTCAGGTCTGATCCTCCATTGGCGAGGTACCTCACGTTCGGGTATATTATACTGATCTCATCAGTCTGATCAGCTCCATGCTGATATGGGCATGCGACATAGTACAAACAACGCTGCCGAGGGCCTGCACGGTGCCCTGAAGTGTTTCATGGGTCCTCGCCGTTCACATGAACGATTCTTCATTCATCAACTGAGAAAGCACAACGAGCGGATGTACATCAAGCTTCGAATGGAGGATGGTGAGCCTTGATTAAGGCGGTGGCCTTTCAAGGCTGAGGAAAGGCGAGTGAGTTAATCTCATTAGTTGGTGTTGTTTTTTTGATGGTAGTGTTGACTCGGAATTCAGAATCTTTGTGTTAGTCACATGTCAATAGTCCCCGGAGACAAGGTGTTCGTTTGGTCGAACCTCTCTCTAGACCGCCAAGTTCGTCAGAAGTATTCGGTCGTCAGTGTTGAGGACGACTGGTATGCCGGAGAAGACGATCTTTACCTGTATCGTCTTTGAAGAGACCGTGATGGTGAGGAGTTGGTAGTTGAAGGTGAGGAAGACCTCTGTCCGTTAATCGGCAGAACGCGAGCCTTGTGGGGCTATGCTGAGTGCTGGAGCAGTTTCCGAGATAACACAAGAACTGAGTAGTGTAAAAAACACGTTTTAAAGGGGAACAAGGACTGGTTATTCTCTACTAGAATCTCTAGGCTTCGTTTAGCTGTTCACTACATTCACGGTGTCTTATGGCAATTGCCGCGCTGTTACCAATAAGGTCTTTTCGGGACGCAACGACTGGTAATGAGGTAAGTTACCACAGGTTACCTTTTGCCTGTGCCTTGTGCCTGGTTACCTCAGGTAACCAGGTAACGGTGACTAGTAACCGGTAACTGGTTGGGACCAACACCTTGATCACTAGATACACCCCATGGAGCTTGCGCTTCTGGATCTTAGAGCTATGTACTGTGGCCGAAGAGTCTCTTTTAAAAGCAACTTTGTCGCCCACCTGAACTCAAGTCACCAGCACTAAGATACTATCATGTTAGGACAACCTACCTGAAACACCTCTCCAGGCTCCATATCCTCTCTATGTTCCAGCTCGCTTCCCTGCCCCCTGTTTGATGTATTGTGAGTCACAATACATCAAACAGAGGTGTTTCAGGTAGGTGACAATTTGTGACCCAATTTGTTGAACCTCCTTCAAGCGCTGCCGCAGTCTCTCCAAATAAGTCTGAGCTGCTTCTTGGTCGGATCTTCGGTCGGAGCATTCCATCGAAAAGGAGAATCTCTATGGAGATATGATGATCGGAGATCGCTGACCGATTCATACAAGGCCATACGACGCTGTTCAACTTCCTCGTTGGGCCTTGCCGGCTCGGCAAAGTTGACAAAGGATTAACTCTGCCGTGGTAAAACTCATGTAAGTAGATCCTGGGGTTCCCGCGCGAACTCTCCTGTACTCGATCGGCCTATGATAGACCGCCTATCGCCCTACCACAAGACATGATAATCATTTGAACTCAGAGTCCAAAGACATCGAAAGTCACTGAGAACAGACAACGAAAAGCAGAACCAAGGAGGAACTTCCTCCGAGGAAGTGTGCGGTTGAATCCAACTTGGCGGTATGCGGCCTTGATAAAACTCTCGTCGGACAGGAAACATCACAAAGTTGTGGCGAAAGCCTGTCACAAAACCAGATTTGAACAAATCACCTGGCGATATTCGACTCCGACTCGGGAATATACCAACCGTGATCGATAAAAGGCGGATATCGCCAAAGATGGTGTAAGCTTCATAAACAAATGATTATACCAAGATATCGGCGTTTTACGACACGTACTTGGCGAATACCGATAAGTTCACCAAGTTTTGTAGCAATATGTGAGCCACTGGCATGTTACACCAATACCAAGTTGCTGTAACCGTGCGCACAGAACGGAATAGATCATTTGGGCGAACGAAACTACGGATTACCTCAACCAGTTTCCGCCACATCTCGGTGAAATTCGTTAGGTGTTGATGCCAAAGAGGTGAAATGTGGTCCAGAAGCGGTCGTATCCCATGATTGAGCGTGTTGGCGAGAGTTCATTAGGACCCCAAATCACCAAGCTTGGCGAGTTGGTGAAACCTGGTTCTCCGGAACAATCTGGCGATGAGATTGCGCGCGCCCCGCTAATCGATTAGGTTTTCACTCGAATAAAAAATATGACGCGAGTTCGACTCTCCCTCGAATAGCTTCTCCTTGGCAGCCAGTGTGACCCGCCTTGTCATTGTTACTTATCGATTGGCAAGACTAGCAACCGAACTGTTTGAGTGCCTTCCGTATATTGGGTCACCAAGACACTGCTCGTCATTGAACGGCCGATAGATACCTGAGACATCATGCCTCAATGACCATAACACATTTCATTCTGTAATAAAAACATGCACCCTGTGTCAAGAAGCCAAGCTGGACCCTTACAAAGAAAAAAACAACGACGATTCTTGCTAGTAGCAAGTCGCTACCACTTGGATTGGCGTCTGGAACTTCCGAACCGAAGCTCTCGCAGAAGTTTCGGACGAGAATCACGTAATATGCGTATCACATATCAATAATATAATATTGTGTAGAACGAACTTAGATGACTGATCGATAATTGGTGGTAGTACTATCATAACTAATATCAGCGCGCCACTGCGAGTACAATCCCCTCACATCTTGGCTCGCCTGGGGATGTGGGTACGTTTTCCAGATCCCAACATCCCCAACATCCCCAACGTCCTATATTCAATAACCATTAGTTCGCACCTAGAACATTGAGTTACGTAGTTAACTCTTTCCGATTCTCCAAAAGTGCGTTACTTGGAGTGATATGAGAAGGGTCATACTGCTAGATAATGTAGAACATCTTTGCGCTTTGATTTTTCTCTTCGCTCGCTTCGCTCGCGAAGCCCTTTCCCATTCTTGGTATACACCCATGCGCTATAGCGAGCTTGAGATAACAAGGTCTGCTTGATATTACAGGACTTGCTTGTTTTAACAATGACTGCTTGGATTAGCCCTGCCACGCTGCCACCACGGACATATTGTCGGTACAAGTCGTCAAGGAACAGCCGGCCATACAAAATGCCTGTATGTAATCGATGACAATCCCGAGTCCTCGTAGGACAAGTTATTACGGACCCATGATTGCAACTGGTCATCAGATATTTGTCGTTGTAAGTCGCTAAGCCTGCCCAAACTGTCTGGGAAGCACGGAGGTTTGGTTATGGGAAAAATCGGTTCCGTGTCAGATAACCATTTCCACTCGACTTCCGAACAGTGCAATGACTGGGGGGCATTTCATCGACGACGTAGAGAGAAGTCAGGTTCCACAATGACGACATCAGCGAGCTGGCACCACAGAGTGGCCTCTCGACCAGACGATTATGCACTAGATTGTGGAGAAATGGTCCAGGGAGGGAATTTTCCGGGACGCACCGACAATGATGCATCAATTGCGAAAAGCCAGTCCATCCCAAGCATAACGTGAACATCTGCTGACTGGAGACTCAAGAAGGAATGAGTTGGAGAAATCAAGAACCTCATATGTGCGCCCAGAAAGTAGTGCTCGTCCAATGTTCTAGAGAGCGCAAGATTGCCGGTCAAAGTGCGAACATGAGTGGACTCAGTCGAAACCGACAGAGATCTGCCGAAGATTTTCTCCGAAACAGTGTGAGATAGAACGGTCACAGTCGAGCCGGTGTCGATCAGAGCGACAAAATGTTCACTGAGCGGCATACGGTCAAATCTGCAGAGTAACAGAAGGTGGTTGTCAGTGGCATAATCCGGTTGCCCGAACAAACTTCCCGCTGTTACCTTCCGAGGTGATGGACAATCGCGGGATAGGTGCCCTAAGGGCACTGCCCTTTCCCTCCACAATTGAAACAACGGGGACCAGAACGATAGGGAGACGAGGAGAGGCTGATCTAGTATCGGGTGCTGAACGGACAGGATGCCCCTTACTCTTGCCCTTGCCCCTGCTATGCTGATAAGTAGGGCAGTAGAAATGACCCTGAACAAGAGCAACGCCTTCGTGCCCTTCGACACGAGCGGAGCGGGTAAGGCTCAGAGCAGTCTCGACCAGGGGGACACCCGCACGAACTTGGGTTAGCCAAGCTGTTCGCATGTTGTCAAATCCTGGAACAGAAGATGGTAGGGCATAAATGGGCCAAATGGACATCGCCACTACCCAGTCCAAGCACTGGCCTGACAACGACAACACTTTAGGAAGACTGTACGACAGGTACTTCTGTAAGTCACCGATCAGAGCGGCGGTCGTCTCGCCAACATTTAGGCAGCGATTGCGGGCCAGGGCCCACAGATCGTGGCGGCTAACCCCGAGGCGTTCCTGCAATACGAGAAACACCAACGTGGAACGCTTGAGGATCGTTGATGGGGAGTCGAACATTGTTAGTCAAAGCATTGTAGGCTACTAGGCGAGTGTTCAAGAGGAGATATTGATAATGATGAGACGGGGCGATATTGAGGAGTTTCAAATGGGCCTTGAGGCTGTGGGCCTGCTTGTCGGTCCCCGTGAACTTCTCGCCCAAGTCATGAGACTTAATGGTACGGGGGCCTTTGAGGGAATGGCTAGGCCAGTTGTTGGAATCGGTGGCCTACCGCTCTCGACACCTGCAGCTGGGGTGGCCTCTGGCCCCCCTTCTCGGGCTGCAGGAGGAATCGGTGGAGCCGATCCCGTGGGAGAGGAGGACGGACCCTTCTCCTGATCATAGCCACCAAGGGCGAGGACATACTCCTCAGTCTCACTCCAAGAGCCAGGGACCTCCTCGAATGCAGGGGAGTCAGAGGGGACACTCATGGAGCCACAAGAAGGGGTAGAACCCACTGAAAAGATGTTCCTGGGTCTGGATACCATGTTGTGACTCACTCGGGAATGCCTACTATGAACACAAGACGATAAGGACTGCTGGTACGGTATCAGTCGAGACGGGACTGATGAATGCGGGAGCAGTGTGCACAGAACTAGAATGCACATGCGTACGCCACAGCTAATATCGATCAGACACTTATATGTGCGTCGCTCCGCTGGACTCCACTACACTGTCGTTTGTCAACCAGTACTGATCGTCAAATGGGACCAAGCGGATGGTAACACCGAGCACTGTACATATCCTCTCAGCCATGCTGAGCTTGAGAGGTATCGCCTTACTGTCGACTGTCGCCCACTCAACAACCTTCGGCTACTGGTGGATGCTGACGGTGCGTTTTGTTCATGCCAGTCGATAGTCAACACACAAGTTGCAAGGATGAGGAAGAGCATATCTACAGGCAGTACAAGCAGTGCCACTCTGCTCCTGCGTGAGATTCCGAGTGAACACATGGGTTGTTGGAGTGAGGTTGATCTTGAGGTTGCCTACGGTACTCTCTGCGTTTCAACTGCACTCTTACGGTTGTTCGGCACTGTCAGTATTGACTCTAATGGCCAACATGTTGGGAAGCCTCGCTCAAGGCTGGCGATAGGCTCCCTCGCTATTCCAACTGGAAGTGACAACTACCATTGATGAAGATATTAACCTGGCCCTTGCCAAAGCCGGATCGAAACTCTCAGTCATTCATGTCCAAGACGATATCTTGATCGTCAGTTGTGACATTGACACTGGTAACCGGGCGTCCATTATCGTCACTGATATTCTAGAGCAACGTCCTGGTTTCATCGTCAACCGCGTCAAGTCCCAACCTCCTACGAAGGTCGCTGGCTCCTGTGTCTGGATGGCCGTCTCTCCCCCGAGGCTCAACATGCTCTCAATCAGCTATACTCCGTTACCAAGGTCTATCAAAACGGTGATTCTTCTACTGAGGAATTTGATTTCCCAATTGACACTGTCTCGTCAGCCTCCCGTGTATTGTCTGACTTCTATCTCAGACTGAGATTCTCAGTGGAGTGATACCTTGTGCAATCGGAAATGATGGCATTGCTACTTTGGTGGCAATGCTCACTCCTATGGCGGCATCATACTCAGGGTACTAAAGGTCGGTGCTGATGCTGAAGGTTCGCCCCGGCCACGAAAGCCGTGCTCAAGCATGTTTCTGATCTCGAAGTGTACTTGGATGAGAATATCAAACTTCTGGCTGTGGTTCCCATCAAGACTTGCGGAGCACGTTGGTCTCGGGTGGAGTCATCAAGAAGCTCAACATAGCGAGAACGAACCAAATTTCGTAACTCTAGTTTTCGGTAAATGCATCGCCGTAATCGACAACATCAATGCCCAACGAGTATGCAACGGGCTTGAGGGCGAATTTAGTGTGGGCAGCTCCCTCAGCAAATGGCGGATCGTTCAGCGACATATTCATTCATTCGCCTGGGCTCCTCGTGACGCTCTGCCTGCCACTGTCCAGATGTCCAGTGCCCAGGTTGCCGCCACTGACGACTTGCATTTCAAGCCTGACTACCTTCCTGGCCACCAACTACGAGCTGTCTTCATGGAATGACGTCACACATCGTGCAGAAAGGAGTTCACCACGCTCGATGACGGTTTCGACTGCTTGCATTGGCTGGCCAAGGCTCAGGCTGAATGTCCCCAACTTCAGCAACTTTGGCAAGTCAACCCCGGGAAGTATCAACTCAATGATGCCGGTCTATTACATGTCAAGGATCGTTACATGGTACTTAAATGCTATGGACAACATATGATACGGAGAATTCACGAGTCATATGCATATGTGTATCGCAACAAGAAGCTGGCAGCTCTGTTTGGTGATGCCGACATCAGTGCCGACATCAAATCTCCTTTGTCGCCTACAACCATCTCTCTCGGCGGCACACCAAGTTCAAAATCGGTGATGTTGTGCTGCGATGGACTCCAGGAGCAACTGGTCTTCAAGCAAATTGGAAAGGACTCCACACTGTTGTTTCTCTTAGCTCCGGTCACTTTGCTGTGCCTTTGAGCGATGGAAGTCTGCAAGGTACTCGCAATGTGCATCGTTATTTTGGGAATGGAGGAGTTGTAGATGGATGACAAGTCTCAAAGAGGGCGTATAATGGACTACACCGCCCCGCTGGTCGCCGTTTCGGATATTTCAAGAGACTCCTAAGACACGCTCATCACATTCTCTTTCTGTGAACCTGAGTACATCCTAGTGACTATTGTCATTGGAAGCATATTCTCTTCCTTGCTTCTCAGCCTAGTTCCGTTATCTGTGGAGACTCAGTATCTTATTTTAGGCTGGTTCATTCATTATTTTGCACTCAATCTGTAATCACCATGACATCAGCAATCAACGAGCGTCCAGAGATTGAGCGGGATACTCTCACGACGCAGTACTCCACTCAAATCTACCCTGGAATCATACTAGATCGTCTACTAAAGATGTATTGTACGCCAATCAGGACGTAAACCCTATGGATATGTGTACACTTATCCATACATCCACATTGACGGAAAACGGAAAAAGGGATATCAAGCTTATAAAAAATTTTCTATGCTTATAAAAACTGCAAAAAAAACATGTCCCGTAGGCAGTTCTCAGCACCACGACGGTGAACTATCCTGACGGAAGGGACCACATCAACAACTTTCTGAGCAACTTGCAACTTGGGAAAGGGTGTATGGGTTTCGTATTGTGGTTTTCGACAACTGCCCCTCCCGAACTCGCAGATCAGAGGTTCCACCAGATATTTCACCGAATAAATCTTCTCAGGCAATATAAAAATATCGGCTATCAGTTTTTCGCTGTATCCCGCACTCGGTGGCGAATCATTCACCTCGAGACACTGAGGCGTTTACGAGAATGGCAGTTCCCAAATCACCCACACTTGCGCGAAACGTCCTTTGACACTACCAGTGGCCCACTAGTGCCACTCCTTTCGTCAATACCTTACGAGTTGCATTGCATCGTTGCTTGCAATGCGAACACGGAATCAAGGAGCTAGTCGTTTGTAGCTTCCGCATACGTTCCCTGGACTCAAGAGCGTAAAGTGTCAAAAAAATGGAAAACTGGCGCAGCCGCGGATCGAACCCCGAAATTTCGGAAAAGTTCCGCTTGAAAGAATTTTCTCTTTCCGGCTGAACAACACTTAATGCAAAAAACGCACCTCAACGTAAGCTGAACCTTATGAAACACATTAAGGTGCCGCCAACAACTCAAAAAACTATAGTATACCATGGACAATAGCATGAAGAGTCACTAGATAGTTTCGCGCGATTATTGGCTGAACTGCCAACGGAAAGAGCATCTGCGAGTTTCAGGTGACATACGAGCGAGGCACTATACTAACTATGATCCGGTGCTCTCTATATCATCTGCGTTAGCTTCTCTGACTCTTGACTCTTGACTCTTGACTCTTGACTCTGGCTCTCGACTCTGACTCTGACTCTTACAGTAATATCGGCTAGTTAACTCGGTAATTACGGAGTGCTCCCAGCAGCTTCGATATCCGGAAATTTCATTGGAAGTATGAAAACGATCAACTGAACAAATGAGCAGCTTACGCTTGATAGATACATCTTTTAATATTCTGATTAAAAGTGTTCCATCGTTCACCCGATCAACTTTGCTCGCTCGTTGGTTCACCCTGAACACTGTCCCATACTACGGTTGAACGTCGGCTGTCCAATAACATACATCGATAAGCTCCCTCACAATTATACCAGTTTCCTTCTTCATGTGCTTGTCGTCAGCTCTCTTCATTTTGCTTGATGCCGGGGCGAAGTCATAAAAAACCAGAACGCCGGCCCACATAAACGATCCTGATGAAACAGCTCTTATACTCAAAAGGCCGATCAGTGCCGAGGAACGATTCTATGACATAAGCCGAAGTACTCTTCAGAGGCAAGTACTTCTTGTACTGGGATATGCCTAGTAGCAGCAGTAAGGGTATCCCAAGTATAGTTGAACCGTTGCATGTTGACTTTGACGAGGAAAGTTATGGCACGAAAGAGACGTTCAACTTGATCATTGGATTGCGATGAGTAAGGTGGAATAAAGGACCAAGAAGTGGTGAACTTGTTGAGATCAAAAGGAGAGGTAGTGAACTTTCGCCACCAAATGAAGAGTAGCTCAGAAGCTCTTGTCACAAGAGCTTAGTAAGGTGCTTAGTAAGCACCCAACGCTTAATACACGTACCCCCGTCGCGGGATTATTGAACGAATTGTCGGTTAATGATGTTGGTAGTAGCTCTATTATAGTCAGTATCACTATCCTTTCCTAATGGTTAACTCGGTAGACAACAACACTCTTGAGTTAGCACTGGGAAGACTCGACCTTTAGCCAAGTGACACCCCAGAGATTAGGAAGTGGTTGAACTCTCCTGCTCTCGGTTCCTGCTACTCCTCGTACGACTTCGTGTACGACCCCCTTGACAATGATAGGCTAGACCATATCCTAAACAAATTCGTCGAACGTGACGAAATTCCGCATGCTGAGGCCCGAAACTTCATCTCACTTTGAGCGAGGGCCATAGTTACAATGTACCCTCCTTTCGAGGACGACGAGGGGGAGGACCCAGTAGTCTATGCTCGCAATATCTTCTCGGCAATCTTCAATGACGGCCTTGTCCATGGTGACCGGTCCTGGATTACCTTGTGGTTAACTACGGTCCTCGCCACTACATCAACCAAGAGGCGATTCAGGCTAGCCCGAAGCACCAGGCTGGTTAATGAGCGACTAAAAGGCGAGGCGTTGGTAGAAGCCTTTCTTCCGGAGGGGGCCTGGTCGTGAAGGTAGACTTCACTGGTCGAACTCAGGAATCCTTGATGACACCGCAGAAAGCTGAGGGGACTGAGAAGGGTGTGGAGGTACGAACCGAATCAACAACCCCCTCCCGCATAATAGAGAAGCACCGAGAGACCCCCCCGGATAAGTCCAGTCATTGACTGGCAGTCAAGGACTTTAAGTTACTCCTTGACCTCATGCTCGTTATGCTAGCAAGGATGCACCTAGCAAGGCCGGCCAGAGGTGTGAGAGCCTGAGACAGAGAGCAGGTGAATGAGTTACTGACTATTAGTCCCGGGTGGAGGTAGAGTGGCTCCTCTTCGGACGGGTGGTCGGGACACAGTTGCCGTTAACCATCGTGTGCGCCAAGTTCATCAACGGCCTGCAGCCTCACATCGAACTGTTCCTTGAAACCAGCCGCGGGCACCAGTTGGTGAAGATGACGCTTGAGGAATCGCGGGATGCATGCAGGTACTCCGAGGGGCGACTCTTACAGTCTGCGGGACACCCGGACGTTAACGTCGTCAATGGACACAATGTCCGATGCGATGGGAACACGCGTGTCCATGGCGGGACGCTCGGATAGCTAGAAAAGCGGCAGGTACGAGTCATTTAGGAGCGGATTGAGTACCTTAGGGGCGAGGAATTTAGGGCCGCGCATGAGCAGGCGCCGGGTTTCCTCGCTGGCAATAATCGATGAAGAATGCCAGTCCGCATACGGGCATCTTTTGGTTGCGCTGGACAACCTCGTGAGATTTTTCACTGATGGGGCGCGGGGCTTAGATGATTCAATGAGCATCTGTACCCATGACGCGCATCAAGGGTTCTAAGGGCCTGCGGAGCTCTCGTACCTAAAAAGAGGAATGGTAAGAGAGCCTTTGGATGCGTTTTACCGCTACTACCTAATTCAGCACGTTCCTACTAACACTTCTCGAAGAATATTAAGGACAACAGCGGCGTTGCCGAGTGTGTTGCGTCACTTGAGGCCGTTGATCCTCCTGACTCGATCATCCCGGCAAGGAACAGGATAGTCTCTATGTGGCTCTCGGCGTTCAGCAACGCTGGGACTGCGAATACGTACCTATCTCATCTCTTCAAATGGCATAGTTGGTCGGGTCTAGATCTCGCCTGGAACACAGTGAGATTTCCGCCGTGAGATCGACGAATACAAGACCGAGAACGAGGATCGATTTCACTCTCCTCCGCCCTCTGGTAAAGGCCGCTATCGATAGGACATGGATTAATGGAGCTTTGACAATGATAGTGGCATATTTTTTCCTATTACGGGTCCCTTCCGAGCTTCTCGCGGCCAAGATCACTCAAGTAGAGCGACAGAAACCAGCGCGCGTCTGGTCCTCCCACAGAAGAGGAATCTACCTTCTGGAGGCGTACTGACTCGAAGCCGCACCTGCGATAATGACTTGCTCACATGTCCAGTTGAAGCTCTGAGAATTCTCGTGGTCCGTCGAAGAACGGGAAGAACGCGCTCCGGAGGTAAAAGTCTAGTCTTCTTGTCATATAGATCTTTCTAGTCCTCCGTAAGGTTTCTGTTCGAAAAAGTTGGAATCCACGAAAGTCATGAGTTCGGTACTCACAGTTTCCGACGGGGTCATGCTCATGACCTGGCAGTCTCCGGTACCACATTCCAGGAGATCTGCCAATTGGGTTCGTGGAGGAGCGAGGTTCCGGCAAGAGTATACATTGACACGGCCCAACTGCAGAGTATGGCATGTCACAGTACCCTGCCGATGATAGATGATAGCGAGTCAGAGATTAGTGACAGAGACTGAGATTTTGCAAATCCCGTCGTACACATTGGGAAATAGCCACGAAGGTCTTTGGCCAATACCACCACACATTGGGAAGTCAATTGGCTCAAAGGCTTCTGGCAGAACAAGTCCGAAGACGTATGCTACGCAGACTTGGGCTTGTTTGATCGCTGTGCGGTTCAGCGCAGAGCATGGAGCCCTGCTAACGTGACATCTCGTGACGGTTCTACCGTGTTACGGCTGTTATATTGTCTTGTGCGAATCATGATCTGTGCATGCGTGTTGTCTATTATTCCTGCGTGAACGCAGGCGCGTCACACGTAAGGTTTCAACTTGAAACTTTCAAGGTTGGTTCAGAAGTTGATTCTTTGAATCTTTCCTCGGAGCCTGGACTTAAACACAGGGTCTAAGGTATACGGTTCCATTATTGTATACCCGCTCCTGGCTACGCTTCCATCAATAGCTGAGAGATAGTATACGGTATTTGTCCAGTGACAGATATTGAGTTCAATAGGTTATGGTATTTACATATGGTATGGTTAATATTTATGGTATTGACTAGAAGTGGTAAGAACTCTAATACTATGGTGAATTACACTGACTATCCTATACCGGTGTCTAGGATTGCTAAGGGGTTATGTCAGGGGTTATGTCTCCCGTAAGGTCCGTGAGAGGCCGTATGAGAAGTCACTCGAATCTGGTTTGGGTTCGGGTCTTGTCCACTGCTCACCATGCTTTGGATCGCATGGACAACAGTCCAGACCCTCGCGGAATCGCATATCGCTGCGCACAGTGCTTCCAGTGCATGAACCCAAAATCTCTATACAGGCTTCAAGAATCCCGCTGTGAGTGCACCATTGCACCCAAATCTATCACGGTGCAACCAGCAGAAGGGTCGGTTATCGACTCATATCAGCCTTCAGGGCTTGGATTCTAAGCCAGACCCGCGATAAATCCCGACTCCAGTATTCGGGCTGCGGGTTTAGAGGTTTAAGGTTTAGTGCTTAGTGCATTCCTATCACCTCTCGGCTTCTCTCACTCTCTTCCCACGGTTCACGGATGATGTGAACACTAACGCTTCGATGCTGAATCCCGTTCCGCTTCTTGTGTTAAGTCTCATCGATCTATTCGGAATCCGCAAGACTCGTCAGAGTCCCGAATACAACCTCTCGAGATCTTTAGTCAACCCCAACCCAGTATCACCCCAGGGTATCCGGCACCTAGCACCCCGCCTATAACAGTGTAAACCCCTAGCGGCTAGGGTCTAGACCGATGCGGACCGCATTACGTGGTAGAGACGTCATTTACCTTAGGTATGGACGCTATAACGTGGTTAATAGTGACCTAGGACACCAATTCTAGGGACATCATCTGTTTGGGCCCGCGCCTTGACTATTTGCAAGAATAAATGTGCTGACCCTCAGGCAGCGCAGGATTCTATGGCGCTCGCCTAGAATCTAACCGTTTCAATCAAAGGCTTTATTGGATTAATATACTAGATTTTAAGTTCGTTTGATCCTTGTGATCTACCCGTCCGTCTACTCTGGTGGTCTATCGTCGATCTCTATTGTGATCTCTATCTCGACTACATATAGAACTGTATCTGATCTGTATTATCTATGCATTCTATTAGTGAGTCGCCGCATTGTGTTATGCAGCTGTCGGATTATGGGCCTACTTCTAGTGAACGCTTTACACCTTTGCAATCTACTTCGCACATCGAACCACCCTCCAGAAATTCTGAAATTTCTGGTATCTGTTTACGCCCATTGTCCGCACATTCTACCGGGATTTCCTACCGAACCTCTGCGTTCACTATGTCGTCATCTATGCCTCAGCTTCTACCTGCTGGATCTAGCTCCAGCTCGGCAAGCTCATCTCCTTCAAGAAGGTGTTCTATGCTCCGCCATCGTTCTCTTCCCTCGAGAACACAAGAAGTTCGAGGCCGGTCTACAGATAGACAGATCACCGACAACCATTGAGATTCTAGAGCTGGACGTACTAGATGTTGCCAATGGCTCTACCTTGTCAGTTCTCGGTAAAGTCGAGCTAGAGGTCGGATATGGCTCTACATTCGTCAAGGACTCCTTCCTTTTGGCCTCTAATGAACTCAGTACTCCAGTCATCATTGGTTGTTCTACGATGGCTAAACTTCGTACCACTATAAGTCTATCGCCAGAAGGTATCCAAGTCATCATCGGTGGTTCTACTGGTTCATCTAATGTTAACGCTCTAGATCTTCTAGATGGTCGCTTGTCTGTCAAGGAGATGGATTGGGCTAGGAAGGTTATGGTTATGCAGGTCAGTCACTACTCTAAGGTTGTGCCAAGTCTACGTGATCTATCGGTCAAGTCTTCGCTAACTATCGAGTCCCTTGCTAGAGCCAACTCTCTAAGTGGTCCGATTGGTCTTTATCAAGATCTCTATCACGATGCTAAGATTTATCCTACTAATGATATGTCTATTGGTATGGATGACACTCTACTCGTTGACGAATCGGATAGAGAGTCTACAAGCCGTGATCAACTACCCCCTTGGGACGCTATATCTAGGTCATGGGTCTACGACTCTAATGCTCCATTAGGTAGAGCCCATACTAAGGTCCCCTGGAGGGATGATTCCCGTCCAGAGTATAATTTCTACTATGCTGCTAAACGTGGTCTAGCTTCTATAGCTAAACTCGACAAGGAGCGTCATTCTATGTTTGAAGTTGCTTTATCTCAGCTTATTGACAAGGGTTTCTGCTCTATTGTTTGTGATCTACGTCAGGGTATCAAGAAGCCTACCAAGTCTATGTGCTCTAAAGCATGGTCTAAGTTAACTAGTGGTACTATCTACGAAGGGTGTAATGTTCCTTTACCGGAGCACTATACGCCTTCACATCTAGTCTTCAGACCGTCGCATCCGAGTACTCCGTGTCGTATAGTTTTCGATTTCCGATCTCTAAATCGACACTCTTTACGTGGTGGTTATCCTCAAAACCACCTAGTTGGTAGTCTATTGGCGATACGTTCTAATCGGTACTTCGTCGCGGGCGACCTCTCTAAAGCATTCTGTAGAATGCAGAGCGATTCTAATGACGTTCCTTATGTTGGCTACACTTGTATTGGGTCATATGTCGTATTATGGTCTAGAGTCGCATTCGGTTCTAGTGCTGCTCCGTGCCAACTAGATGCGTCTATGGAAGATATTACTCTAGAGATTAATGCCCTGTCGAAGCTTGCTGCGAAGTTTCCGGCGTCTACCGTGACTATCGCTGACCTGTGTCGAGAAGAGGTAGAAGCTTGTCTTCTACGTCCTTCTGACACTGCGTATGACTACCTACTTAGAGCTCCTCCTATATCTAAGAAGGTTACTCTTATCAAGTTTGTTGATGATATCTATGCCGGCGGTTCTACCCAAATTGAGGCTCGTCGGAACTATGATCTAGTGTCATATATGTGCAACGGTCACGATTTTCCGGTGGAAGTTCTAAAGAGTTATGACAATTGGTCTACTCCGAATGATGGTCTAGCTCTAATGAAACGTCAACATCTACTGGGTTATGACTGTTGCACCAAGGACGATGTCTTCTATTGCTCCTTTAGCGGCTCTATTCCTGGTAATGACTTAATTACCAAACGACAGTCGTGTGGCATTCTCGCCAGTTTCTATGATCCTCTTGGTTTGCTCGTCGAGCATGACATGCAGGGGAGATCTATATGGAGAGATATTAATAAATCTACTCCAACGGATTGGGAAGCTGCTATTCCTCTATCTATGACTAAGGCTGTCGTCGAGTGGGCAACACTCTCTAAAACTCTGGCTGAATCTAAGGCTCTAACTCGTCATGTACGTCTAGATCAACCGCTGCTTCTAAGTACTGATGCATCCAACAACGCTTGGGGGGCAGACTTACGTTCTCTCGGTGATCTATCTGTACGTATTGCTGGTCGAGGCGGTCTATTCAATGCCAGTAACCTTGCTTGGAGTATTCCGAGGAAAGAACTAGATGCACTCCATCGAGGTCTATTGTGGGTGAAATCTCTATCACCCTACTTGCCTATTGTCACGCATTATGGTGAACTTCAAGCACCTCTGAATGTGCTCTACCCTCAACCTCAAGATCATGTTCTAACTGTCGCTGTTGACTCTGAGGTAACGGTCTATCGGTTGAGGAAGCCTTCTAATGATGATAAGTTACCGGCGCCGGAACGACGCCGTTTGGCTGCCATTCGTCAATTATGCTCTGATCTACGAGCGTGCGTCAAACACGTGCCGTCTAGTTGTAATGCCTCTGACTCTATCTCTAGGTGTACTCTATCTAAGAAGTTTGATGTTACTCTATTATCATCATCCCTAGAAGACGGATCTGTTATGTATGATCCCTCTATGACTTACGCGACCTCTACTAAGGACGCGGGGTACCCTCATGGTTCTCCTAGCGCGACCTCTACTGAGGACGCGGGGTACGCCCAAACCCCTTATGACGCGACCTCTACTGAGGACGCGGGGTACGCTCTGGTGGCCTCTGCTCTAGACGACGACTTCTGCTATCTCGAGTCTATCACTATTGATGATCTTCCGGTCTCACCACCTGATGCATCTACATCTGCTCATGCTAAGGTTATGTTGGTTAACTGTGATGGCCTTGATCTACCTAATATATCTGGTCTAGATCTATCTGATGTCGAGAAGGAAGAACTAAGACTTCTTCTCGAGTTCGTTGATACTACTAGAGGTATGTCTAATGCTCCTGAGTCCACCTTGGATAATATTGAGTTCAAGCAACGTCTAACTGTTTGTGCTCGTCGGTGCCAATCTAATGACGCCGATCTTTCTAAGTTCCGAGACTATCTAGAAGGCAAGGTTTCTCGTGGATCTATTGGTCTTCGACAGACGGTCTTTCAACGTATGTCTAAGCACTGTTCGCTAGACAATGATGGTCTCATTCGTCAACGGCGCTGGTATAGTTCTAATAATAATACTGATCCTGAAGACGGTGGCACTATTTATCTTGGTAACTCTAGCTATGCATACCAAGTGCTATGTATCCTTTGCGGTATCTATCATTATCTCTATGGCCACCCAGGGAAGCGTCGTCTACGATCTATTCTACAGAGGAAGTTTACTGCTAGAGGTATATGTGTTGCTGTGCGCAAGACCACATCTAGTTGTAGTTTGTGTCTCCGTGCCAGATCTACTAAGTCTATCAAGTATCTAAACTCTGACGTTCAAGACATGGTTACAACACAACTATGGCAGTTGGTGGGCGTTGATATTGATGGTCCTTATGGTAAGCCACCCCAACAACGATATCTACGACAAAACTCTACTTCTTCTCAAGCCTCTAATAGTTCGATTGGTGATGGTAAGCTCGATCCCTCTAAGGACTATTATCTACTAGTGTGTCAAGACGCTGTTAGTGGTTTCATTGTCGCTAGAGCTATGCGCAACACTAAGTCCACTACTGTTGCTAATACACTACATTCAGTCTTCTGTGAGCACGGCAGTCCATCTGTAGTTATTAGTGATCGAGATGTCTTTTCTATCTTGACTAGGTCGGTACGCTCTGTTCTAAACAAACACGGTATTAGACAGTATACTCTACCCGGCTATAGTCAACATCTCTCCTTCTGGGAAAGATCTCATCGAGATCTAGTTCAAACATCTAGAGCTATATTGGCGTCAAGTGCTACACCTGAAGACTACATCTTCAGTTATCTTCTAGCCGTTCGTTGCTATAATAGCACCCCTAGGCACTGGTCTACGCTGAGTCCATGCGCCCTACATTATGGTTACGGGCAACGTCTACCCGGTGACCCTCCGTCTGACTTCCCCTCTATCGATTGGGACAAGCTCGAGGTCAAATATCTGAGCGTTGACTACCTGCCCTATGTTCGATCCTTGTTGCCGGTTCTATCAGACCAACAAGAAAAGATGAAGGTCACAGTTCAAGAGTACGTCGATGCTTGGAAGCTAAAACAAGCCGCTCTTCGCGAGCGTTCTATTAAAGATACTCCTCAAGATTATCAACTGGCACTCTACGATCTTGTCTATATCAGCGAGTGTGCCGATCATTCTCTTGGTGGTCATCTATCCCTCAAATGGCGAGGGCCTCTAACGATTGCTAAGCTATGCGGTACATCTATGGTTTATCTCTTTGACGGTATTGTACTACCATCTGACTATGGCGGTAATCTAAAGGTCTCTGATGATAAGACTACTCTAGAAGGTGGCCCTGGGGTCTCTTCTCTCATCTACGCCTCCGTCAAGAACCTGGTACCCGCACGTGCTCTACAATCTCTAATCTATGATCACTACGAGAAAGGCCTAAGAGTTTATCAGGACGAGGAAGGTAACTTCGATACTTTCCCTGCTAGCGGTGATGGTTCGGATCAGTCTAAGATTATTCTGAGACGAGTCGGACAACGATCTTCTAGTAACCATCAACATCGACAAGAAGACTCTACCATTTTGCCTGGTTGTGAAGATGTCCCTCTAGATCCATCTAATCAGGTCACATCAAGTCCCTCCTCATCAATTGACGGAGTACCTCTATCTCCCCCACATGATGATCTACTTGATGCCACTGAAGACTATGAAGTTGGTACCAATCTACGTTCGTCTCCATCAAGACTACCGGTATCATCAACACATCCGTCTTCAACCGTTGAGACCATTACCCCGGCTAGACAGGAGACATCAGCTTCAACTAGACGTGTGGATAATGTTCTAGTGTTTGGTAAACCTATTCCATCATCTATCACACCTCACAAGGGTTGGTTGGTTATCTCAAATGATACATCGATTTATCGTGGATTGGCTTCTATTGAATGCTATACTGTCAACTCGGATTCTTTATGTCTAAGCCCTGTTACTCTCGTGACAGATATATCTGGTGCGTTGTCCACTTCCAATGAGGTTCTCTACGAGGTGTCTCGCACTAAGGTGATTTATATAACGTCCTCTACCAGACCTCTAACACGCTCTCTTCTAGAACGTACTAGGAATCTGCTAGATCGGCTACAACTCTAAAGGTATTGGGGTTGCTGGCTCTAATTCGTGACTCCCTCGCTGTCGCGGTTCTAGTGATGTGTATGCGTGCATCTATCTATATCGTCATATTTCTAGCACCTAACGTTCTAGTATTATGTAGATTATTGGTATATCTATAGAGCAGTGTCTGGTAGTTTCTATCTCTATTCGATGATTATCAACATGCGCTGTCTAATTGTGCCGGTGAAGTCGATATTGTATCTTGCGCCACCTTGCGCCGCGATGATCTATTTTAGCTATAAGATAGTTCATTGTCCATTCTAGAGTTGAGAACTATTGTAGTTTGTGATCTATTCCAGTACGCTTTCTACTTCCTTGTACGTTCATAGATTTCTAGTTGTCTCACCTCTATGATCAGCGAGTTCTATCCATTGGTAACGCCATCTAATGCGGTTCTAGAGGAAGCAAGGAAGGCTATCTGGGCTAAGAGTCCGGAAAGCTTATCTTTCAACGTGATCTGTCTACCAAGTTTACAGATCTACAAGGCCCCTACCTCTAACGTTATCACTGGTGGTCTAGTCTTTAGACGTCTAGCTATAGTCAATGGGTATAATCTATGTCTACATAGTTTACCTTACCTGCCCACCATCTCTAATGATATGTTCACCCTCTATGAGAAGTCTATCTGCAATCTAAAGATGCTGAATTCTATCCGTATAGATAGAGTAGTATGGCTATCTATACCACAAGATCTAAGGACATTCATCTCCACTGGTGAGCTAAGGCCTTCTGAGGAAGTTCCTCTACAGGAGGATCCCCTCTATACTGGTAATTTCATCTATCCGACTAAGCCGTCGAACGTTATCGTCAGTGTCGGTCAATTTCTAAGGTTGATGGTTACGCTAGGTCTATTATCATTCGTCTATAGAGATGTTGAGATTCTGCACGAGCTACCTCTATTGACCAAGACACCACTCTCTACTGATCTATCAAGTGTGGGCCCTCTAGGCAATGTGTTATATTATAGTGCTCTACGCATCTCAGCACTATATAAAAACTGCCTATTGCCTTCTATTTTCTATAAGGATGGTAATTCTACTGTTCTGGAATCTATGGACCTAGACTCTAGTTCTAGGGACCCTAAGGCTCTAGGTGGACGGAGCGCTCCTCCCTTTTCGCTTTTTTTGCGCGCTGGGGGAGGGGCCCCGGGCGCGCGCATAATAGACGGAGTAAGCTCACAGCAAAAATGTATCCGCGCGAGGCCGATTTCCTTATCTGTATTAAGGATCACCCTGAAACTAGTACCAATCGACTCCTCTCGTCGAGCTGAGTAATATGGTAAAAGAATTTCTCCAATATTATGAGCCATTTTCGAGAAATAACCGATTTAGTCTTTTTCCATTCAATGTAGGGAGGCATGACATGAGAGCACTGTATCAGCAATCAGTCTAGTCCAGTAGGTCGTGGGCGTGCGCTGTCACACGGGAGACCCAGGTTCGAATCTGGGCTGAGGTATATTCCGGAATAAATTCCCGTACTCGGAGTAGGTCAGTGGATTGGGTGTTACAGCGATAAGTGCAACGGCAATCAGTAGGATAGTGTCCGTGAGGTCGTGGGTGAGCACCCAGCCAGTGTCTAAGTAGGTTTGAACTGGTCTGAGCACCAAGCGTCATTGTTGAAGCATTACATTTCATGTAGGTAGTGTGGTGTGATGGTTAGTCTCCAGGTTGGTCATGCCGGTGATCCAGGTTCAAATCCTGGCAATTTGAAATTTAGAATTTTGTCAGTGATGGTTTCTCAGTCACTCTATTGGGTAGTATTGTTTGCACCTTGCTTAGTGTAGTGCTCAGTATTATTATTTATGTCGATACATGGCAGTGATTTAACGTTGCATAGCACAGTAGAACCTGACGACTTCCAATGAACAACAATATATTCAAGTAGACGATAGTGTAGTGGTTAGGGCTCATGTTTCCCATTCTCGAGGTCTCAGGTTCGAATCCCAGAAGGTCCGTGCGGGGCCCCACGCCAGTGGGGCGCACGGACCCCTCAGTGCCTACAGCCTTGCGATTCCCCTCCGAAAGCTCCAAGTAATGCGCGACAGCGCAACCAGCTGCAGTACCCTGAGCAACCGACACGACACAGCTAACACTGCGCAACCATCGGAGCAGACAATACGGCCGATGGTTGCGAGGAGAACACCGACAAGGAGGACTAGCCAGCACTAGTGACGAGTCTCACAATAGCGTAGCACAATCTGAAAAGTCGGGCTGCTGCTGCTACTAGCATGGTGCCAACGCAGTGCACCGATCAGGCACCACACCGGTGCTAGGTGGAGGAAATTTTTTTTTCGCGTTACTTTTTTCGGGCGAGCGGGGAGGGACCCGCGCGCCTATATGAGCAATTTTACTCACAGCAAAATCACACCCTTTTGGAGCCGATTTCGAAACTGAGCCTCAGAACCGTCTTGAAAGTGTTACCAATCGACTCGGTTGCTCCTTCTGAGTACAATGGTGCTACTCTCGGGTCAGTTTATAGATTTCCTGACGAGTAATTGGGGATTAAAGATTTTTGTTCATAGTGACCTCGTCATTTAGGTACGACAGTGCTTGTCAGTTGATCTGGCGCAGTGGTAAGGGCGCGCGCTCTCCACCGGAAGGTCCCGGGTTCGAGTCCCGGGGAGGGATAAATTGTCTCATGATCAGTTAATATACTAAATGATATAGTTATGTTTTATATATACAATTTCGTGGCGCGTGAGAAGTATATGCAACCAGTAGTACCATTATTCTACTTGTATATATACAGTCTGTGGGTGTTTACGAGTCGAGTGGTAGTGCTGAGGGTGAGTTGATGTTGGATACAGAACGAGGGGGTCGAGTGTAGTTTCGAGGAATGCACTGTAGTAATCACCAGGTTAGAGTGGGTATTAGCAGTCATGGCTGTCCTGTTCAAAGTTTTCGGGTGTCATCATTACGCGTGTCATGCACAGTCAGCATGGTCTAATAGGTTAGGATGCACGTCTTCCACTGCGTAGATCCAGGTTCGAATCCGGGTGAATGTACTTTTCCTACATTGAGTAAGACCCGAGATAGGCTTGATGCACGGTGGCGTGAGTCAGTGAATGGGTTGGAACAGTGTCTCAAGGGCCTGGGCAGGCAGTGAACCACCATCCAGATTATCTTACGGCTCTGAGATCGGAGCAGCCCATTACACAGTACTAATTTTTATATCGGTGATAGTCTAATGGTTAGTGCAGCGGACTCCAATGCGGACAACCCAGGTTCGATTCTCGGCAACAGACTATAAATATATTTTCTCTGGTCGACAGAAAAACAGCATACCAGTTAGTAGTATTGAATGAGGTGTGAGTTAGCGTAGTGGTAAGCGCCCAGGTCTGCGCGCAGGTGGTTGCAGGTTCGAATCCCACCGGGTCCGCGCAGGGTCCCCACTTTAGTGGGGTGGGCGGACCCCCTCCCACCGGGAACCTCGAAACCCTGGTTGGTTAATCAAGAGAATGCGCGAAAGCGCAAGTGAATACATAGATCTGAAACGTCCAGTATAGGGCGTCTAGTAGAGACCGCCTAGCTATCGATCCCTCGATCGATAGCAAAGCGTCGGCTCAACAGCAAGTCAGTAGCAATGTCGGCCCAACATC